TTTTTTTTTTTTTTTTTTGGGGGGGGGGAACAAAAGCTCCAATCTATTTGTGGGGAGCAACACGTGCTGGGGGTCCAGCGTCCCATGTAGAATTATGCAAATGATTTGAAATACCAGGGCCATTACCTGGCTTCGGCTAAGAACAATCTGAGAACTTATGAGACCTTATGAGAGAAATTCAGAAAAATTCAGGAAAATTCAAAATTTAGGAAAAATGTGAATACTGCTGACCTATTGCTAGGTAAAACAGGAAAGCCACAGAAGTTCTTTGAATGCTCAGAATCCCTGGAATCCCCAACAAAACACTCTAAAAATTCTCTAACACTGTCTAATTCCCTGCCAAGCTCTCCCAGGCGTCATGCCCCCACCCTGCTAGGTTACAGGGCAACACAACTCAACCCAGCTCCGGCCGGCATTGTCCCGACAGCAACCCTTGGTTTTCCTTTGGAATGCCTGGCCCAAAGCATCCCCAGATCTCTCTACCAGGCCTCACGCTCCTGCTATCAACAGGTTACGGGGTAACCCCCCAGCACCGGCCAGCGTCGTTCTGGCATCGAAAAACCGGGGGTCCATGAATATAACAGCATCAAAGAAGCCTAGAATGAGTTGCAAGAAGCACCCAGAATCCTAAGGTATTCTCAAAAATTGAGAGAACCTCCCCCTGCCAGCATTGATTACCCTGAAATCCAGGGGATTAACTGAGCAGGGATCGTCCTTTGATGGTCATGAGAAAGACTTTTTTTTGGGGGGGGGAGACTATGCGATGTGTGCGATGAAAATTTCGTAAGAACTGAACTAAGAACCTGAAAGAAACAATCTGATAAGCCTAAAAAACAGGAAGAAAGGAAAACGAAAATCTATTTCCCCGCACCACAGAGGAAAGACCGCTGCCCAGGCGTTCAGTCCTCATACCAGAGCTTGCCAGATCTCATACCCCCCCTGCTAGGGTGACAGGGCAACACCAACTGCCCTTGTACCGACCGAACTGGTTCTGACGGACAGGAAGTGTCTTCCTCCCTCGACAACTTCCTTAGCTGCAAAGCCCCCGGAGGTTACAGGGTCACTGGCCCGGCATCAGCTACGTTGAAAAAGATGGATATGCCTTCCACTCGGCATAGCTCCAATAGCCTCAAGCTCCCCCTGGTTACAGAGCAACCGCTCCAGCACCGGCCATTGTCGGCCCACCCCGCCCTTCTAGTTAGACCTACCACCCGGTACACCAATCCCTCCTCTGCTCGAGCACCACCACACTACCCAACAATCCCTAGGATCAACCTTCCCCGTCCTGCTCACCGAATCAATACAATCAATCAGATGGGAAACAAACAACCAGTATCTGCCTTTAATCCCATTCCTTCTTCCGGCACAACTTATTACAGCAAAGCTACCTACCCTGCTGCTGTGAAACCCTAGTTCCATCCTACTAGCTAGCCCTCCTCACCAGCAGGATGCGTGAACACCATCCAACTACCCCTCCGAACTATACGTCCATCCCCTTCACCCGCGATGACAAACCAAAGTTCCACGTTCAGTCCGCGTACCTAAACGCAGCTGATCTCAAACCCCCATAGCTAGGGTTACAGGGACCCACTACATCCCCGGTACCGACCAGCCTAGTACAGACGGCAAGGAGTGCCTTCCACCCTCGACAACTCCCGAATAGCCACACTCCCCTTGAGGCGACAGGGCTACAGCCCCAGCAACGGCTACGTCGACCGAATTGCTGCATCAGCCCAATCTCGCCCTCCTGACTTACTAGTAAAGACACAGTCCTCTCCCAGGTGACCCCCACACAACCTCTATTCCTATGGTTGTTTGAAAGTCCATTGGTTACGAAAAACAAGATAGGGCATGAATAACACACAAAAAAGAACTCCCTCGACAACTCCCATTAGCCGCACGCCCCGAGGGTGACAGGGATTGAACCCCGGCAACAGCTACGTCGAACGTGCTGGTTCTGCCTTCCTCCCTCCACTTAACTTCCCAAACCTCACGCTCCCCCAGGTTATAGAGCAACGCTCCAGCACCAGCCTGCGTCGTCCCAGCCACACCCTTCTAACCTACTAACAAAGACTAAGGGCCTCCCCCTCCCCCTGTTACACCCCCATTCAAACTTCTCGTCTATCAGCGCGAACCATCTGCTTCCTTTAATCGTGTGTGTTATTCCTTACACAGCTAAATACACATTAACTCCGAACTTAGAAAATTCCTCGGTCTAGAAAATTAAGAAGTCAACAACAATGATGGTACTAAAAAGGATTTGGATTATGGTAGAATCAATCATTGGAAAAACAATTAGAACAAAAGGGTTATGTCACTTGTGTGAGAAAATTCCTTGGTTTGGAAAAACAATGATGGTACTAAAAAGGATTTGAGTTATGGTAGAATCACGTAAAAATCACCGACGGATTTCATTGGTAAAAACATCCAGGATTGTGAATTTATCAGAAGCAAAGTCTGATTTACGACTTTCAGATTGGCAAATGTATTAGACTCTTGGGATTTAGAAGATTGTGAAAGATATTTCAAAACCTAGGAAAATCAAATAAAACAATCAGAAAATTCACGATTGACAGCAAGACATGAAACTCTCAATTAAAATTCTGATATGTCACATCATTGGAATCCTATTATAAAAAAAGATCAAGAATCATGAATTGAAATCATCAACGAAAAGTCAACCTCAGGATGAAAAGCTTGGTTATCAGGACATTATTAGTAGATTTCGAATTATAAGACAGCCAAGCCATGCGTGGGCCGAATCCTTATCCAATAAAAACAGCCTCCCATCCCGTCTTCCTAAACCAAGCCACTTACCTCACACACCTCAAAACCTATCCGTGCATCTTTGGGGAAGGAAAAACTCCCTTCTTCCTACTGCTAGCATCTAGGCTCAAAGCAAAGCTAACACCAAAGACATGAACGACCATCTTCAATCCCCCAAAGGAAATCGAAAACAGTGTGGCACCCCCTCGCCAAACCTGTTGACGAGTTGCCACAGGGGTTCAAAACCACCTTAACTATATCCGTACCATACTGTTGAGGAAGAGGGAAGGGTTTTCAAAAAACGAGGACGACAAGCCCTAACCTAGTCCGGCGACTCCACACCCTCCTGCCCATCTACCCCACCCTCCTCCCCCCTACCTTACCACCCGTGGTTGTTCCCCGTCACTGCCCAACACACCCCATCTCCTACCGCGCGCCACCATATCCCACCGTTCACCTCGTCGCCAGCTCTCCCGTACGCACCCTTCTCTCGCCTCGCGTCCTTGTGTCTTCGCCCACCGCGTCGCCTGGCTCTCCGGTAGATCCCGTGTCGCGCCGCTTCGTCTCCCAAATTGCCCCAGCGGGGGCGCAGCGCTGCCGGTCGCGCTGCGCCCCATCGGCCTCTTACCCAACCAACAAGAATGGCTACCATAGCCATACTCTCGGATGAAGTCCAAGACCAACTGGAACCACAGGGGCCTTCTACCTGCAGCACCAGCCGAGGAAGTGACGATGAAGGTCGACCATAGCGACAGGCGAGCCTCTCGTGTTGGTTCCTTTCTCTCTCCCCTTCCTCATCCTCTACACCGTTCTCTCACCCTTCTCCATAGCCTGGCATAGGCGCTTCACCCTCTACCTCCATAGACAAGGCCTACTCCCTCCGCCTACTACTACATAGCCAGGGAGGTGTTCTTCTCCACCCTCCAGCTCCACCACTCAGCAGGAGCTCCACCTACCTTCACCGTGTGGGCGGAGCAGCAGCATGACTGCCGGGTAGATACCGCTTCACTCATTGTACCCAAATGATATACTCTTGAAACTCGACCTGACGGCTTCACTTAGGACGCAGTTCCACTGCCTCTCTGGTGCACTAGGCCTACAAGGGTTCGTGGCCTTTGACAGGAACATCATTGTAGCCTGCAAGTCTACCTCAGGGCCTGTATCAAACCTACCAACGATCCAGATACGGGCCTTTTGGAAGCTACCGGGTCCTTCTAGGCCTACCGGACCTTGCTTGGCATACCCGAGTTGCTGGAAAATCCCTGCCTGCTGCTACCCAAATTCTACTTGCGTCCCTGACCGCCCTGGCCTTTCTAGAACTTCATTCGGTCCCCAATTTGAGTTTTGTCCCTGCGGTTTCCTTGTTTCTAATCTACACTTCCCGGGACACAGAAAACACAGGGCAAGCGCACAGTTAGTTCTCCGAATAGCAATCATCACACAGGTACACACATGCAACCAAACAGCAAACTCATACAGAACACAGAAATCTCAGCAAATCAGACCAGCAAGCAGCAATACTCAGAAAACAGCATAAATCACAGACTGATTCTGTGCAGGTCATTGCAATCACAGTTGCACAGGCCGATGGTCGGCGCCCCTTGATTGGTTGGCTGGTCGGCACCTACCGGTCGGCAGTCGTCAGCAGCCCACAAAAAAAGAAAAAAAGGAAAAAAAGAGGGAGTCCATAACCCCCAATAACCCCACCAACACCCCCATACCCCTCTCTTATACAC